GAATGGATTGTGTTTTGCTATGGGGCACTCGATTTAATATTCGATTAGCCGTAAGAATGGCTTCCCCCCACAAGTTCTGTGGCAAACCAGAACGTATCAACAACGCGTTCATCATCTCCTTTAATGTGCGATTCTTTCTTTCCGCAGTCTCATTAGATTGGGGCGTGTAAGGGGCTGTTGTTTGATGAATAATTCTATATTCTAAACATATTTCTTCAAAAGGAGATTCATATTCACCACCCCTATCACTTCTTATCATTTTTACTTTCTTGTTAAGTTGCGTTTCAACTTCATTTTTGTATTGCCTGAATGCGTCTATTGCTTCATCTTTACTATTCAGTAAGTAAACATAGCAATATCGAGTACCATCGTCAATAAAAGTTATGAAATACTTCTTTCCACCGCGAGATGGTATTGACTTCATGTCACAAATATCTGTGTGAATTAAGTCTAAAGGATTTGAATTCCTTTCAACTGACTTATAAGGATGTTTAACATACTTAGATTCCACACATGTTTGACATTTTAATTTTTCGCATTCAAACTTAGGCAGTACTTCCAAGTTAATCATTTTCCGCAAGGTTTTATAATTGACATGACCCAAACGTACATGCCATAAATCATTTGACTCAAGTAAGTAAGAAGAAGCTGAAATATTATTATTGTTTTCCACAACCATTACATTCAGATTGAAAAGGCCCTCGGTGAGGTAACCTTTTCCTACAAATATTTCATTCTTACTTATGACAACCTTGTCGGACACAAAAATGCACTTAAAACCGTACTTAACAAGAAGTCCAGTAGAGACTAAATTCTTTCTCATTTCGGGAACATGAAGGACATTGTTCAAAGTCATGACCTTACCAGAAGTCATTTTCAGAAATATCTTCCCATATTCTTCAACTTTTGCTATTGAAGCATTTCCCATATAAACTGTCTCTCCGGGTCCAGCAGGAGGATAAGTAGCAAAAGCTTCTCTAACTGCACAAACATGGCGAGTGGCTCCAAAATCAAACCACCACTGTTTAGGATTTTTCACCAAGTTACATTCAGAAAGCATGACACACAAGTTATCAACATCATCATGCTTTACTACCATGTTTGCTTGAATCCTTTTCTTGTCTTTCTTCGGAGCACGACACTCCGTAGATTTGTGTCCGATTTTCTCACAGTTGTAGCAGTTTCCACTGAACCGCTTCTTACTTGGGTTGTATTTCGGAACAGAAGCTTTCTTCCTCTTTTTATTATTTTCAACAATATTTACTCCCATTATTGTTGAATTTCCACGGCCTCTTCTTTCATCAGTTTTATTGTCCTCTTCGATTCTCAACCGAACAATGAGATCTTCAAGGGACATTTCCTTTCGTTTGTGTTTCAAATAATTTTTGAAGTCCTTCCACAATGGAGGCAACTTCTCAATCATTGCTGCTACTTGGAATGCTTCGTTGAT